AGATGGACCAGGAGGGGGATGGATAGAAGTTAAAGTTGATCCGGACTGTGGCAGTGGGACCGGAGCCCAAATCTGGGGGCACCTTGAATAGATCTGCGTGCATCGGTGCTGGAGGAGGACGACGGCAGCAACTCCATTAGGCACCTCCAACTCTACGAATACAAATTCCGGACGTCCAATGCTGATCGCATAAATTTCAAGCCGGGTTTAAACGAAGCGGACGAAATCTTTCAAACACGACGGTTTCCATATAAACTGGAGGACATTCATAACAATTAGTACATTTTTCATATCAATTCATTATATTTCAGACAATTTTTAACTAAACCCTAACATAATCTAAACGATCGCCGATGCCCAATCCTTATGTCCGGCCATGAGCCTCGAGAACTGTAGCTTCGATTTTTGTCTTCGCCTTCTTCAGTTTTGCCTCGGCGCTCTCCAGCTCTGCCTCAGCCACCGAAGCTTGAGCGGCTAATCGGCCGATGATTTTGAACCTATCAAGCTAGGCTTCGGCAGGAGGAGGAGAGAAGTGGCCTACTTGGGACCCAAGAAGTGGACTACTCTTCCTTGCTACCGGCAGCGCTAGCTGATGTGCCGGCTTTGTGGTCGTGGCGACCGAGCGCGATCGTGGATGGGCCGGCTTGGTCGCCGCTCTTGCTGAACACCTTGGGCCGCCTCATGGAACTCCTTGTAGGAGGGTTCTATCTTCGCTTGATGCTGGATGTACAGCCAGTGGTCGCGTTGGATTTCGCAGGAGGACCGATAGGACTCGAACAACGCATCCTACTCCATCACCTCCATGTCCGGCAGCAAGTTGTTGATTTATACGCCGGTGCGCATCAAGGAGGCCCACGTTGTAGGCTTGAACGGCCTGCGCTTGCCGGTACTTGGCCCCCTGCTCCTCCCGCATCATGTCCATGTACTGACCATGGGCCTTAAACATGGTGATCCAGTTTGCACCGGCGAGGAGGGTGGCAACAGCTTGTCTTCCATTCGGATATCATCGCTTCCGTCTGCCTGCCAGCAGCAATGGCTGCTATCTCCTTCTTCTGTTCGGACCAGAGGTTGTCCCATAGGGCTTTGGAGCGCGAGGAGACCATGACAATGTGATGGAGAGAAGAGAAAGGGATCAGAGGAGGATGATTGCGGCTATGGTCGGGGCTGGAGTTTTCAAGCGGGCGGATGGCAATGGGTCGCCGCGTTGTGGTTACTGGTGGGCGACAGACGGACGAATCGGTGGTGCTACAGTACATTCCTTGGCAGCCTCATAACATTAATGTAGAGGCAACAGACTGATGGTGGTGTCGTTTGAACATGGAGAATTCGCCTGCACTGGAAAGCGGCACGGGCGACACTCTCTCGTCCCTGAGGTGTCTCCTCTCCTTCTTCAGTTTATCCCAATCATCGACGTGCTTATCCCTCTCGTCCCTAAGCTGACTAGTCTCCTGAACGAGCCAAACTGTCTCCTTGCGTAGCTCTTTAATCGCCCTCTTTAGCACGTCATTTTCCCCTTGCACGCTCTTGATGACATACTCATAAGTGTTTAAGAATTCATTATGGGCCATGCCCACATCACACACCGACTGGTTGTTTCCTCCAGAATTGGCCATGATCTACAAACACAACGCGTATACGATCAAGATCATATGCGATTTTATATCACTGAATATTGACACCAATGCATGTAATGTAGATCAAATATTGCAATGTATAGAACTAATTAAAATAGATAGCATGTATAGAACTAATTAAACTAGATAGCAATGTAATGTATAGAACTATTGAATTGTGACTATATTTGCCACACCTAACTTGGAGCACTACTTTCGAGTGGAAATTTTCTTTGGACACTCAACTATTTTGCCACACTTAACTTAGAGCATTACTTTCGAGTGGAAATTTTCTTTGGTGAAAAAGTAGTACACAAAAGATTTTCCCCAAGATATTTATGGATTACAACAGCAACTCAAACACTTTGTTTCAGAATTTAGATGCTTCCAAAGATGATGACTTAAAAAATATATCTACCTTAATTTGATTAAAAGATTGCACTTCCACTAGTTTCTACAGCTAGTGTTATCCGAAGATTGAAAAATAGATCTACCTTAATTCGAGACAACTACAACACATTGTCTTGTCACTACCTAGCAGTGATGAACCCCAGCGATGCTAATAAAAAATTACAGTGGTAGTGACCTACAACAAAAGAGGGAGGGATGATATGCTCACCCGGGTTGGAGCCGAGGGTCACCTACAGTCTACTCCGTCGCCATCGCCTGCTGCCGTCGCCGAAACCATAGCAGATGTGAGTGGGAGGCTCAGATGCGAAACACACCTCTAATTAAAAAATATCCAAATGGACCAGATGAGAGTGGAAGGCTCAGATGTGTACCTCAGGACCGAAGAACGACGGCAATCGCCGGAATCGGACGGAATCGAAGCACCGACGACAAGCGGCGACAGAGGAAGAGAAGGGGAATGGAACAGAGCAACAGGGAAGAGAGAGGGAGTGGGTCGAGGGGGCCGTTGCCCCTGTTGGTTTTGACCCCCACGACATTCTAATACTATTTGGGCTTGCCCAATAAAAAAATCACCACCTAACAAATGTCATCTCAAAACTATATATTTCAAGTCTTAAATTAAAAAGTAAATTTAAAGTGTCTCAAAGTACATGTTTAAAAAAATGTCATTATTTCCATTCAAAATAATAGAAATTTAATAAAAGTAAACTAGAATATTATAAGTGTCAAACTACATATTTAATGTCCAAAACAACAATATACCATAAAAATAATAATATAAGAATGTTGGCATTGATAAAATAACAATACTGGCATCGGAACCAATAGCACACCACAACTAAACATAATAGTGCTGACGTTTCATGCTATTTCACGACAACCCTATATTACGCCTGATACAAATTATTGATCCCTTATACTTCTGACGCTATCCTGTTTTCCAACGCCACCACTATGCCCCTAATAATGTCGTACCAAATAAGCCAACGCCACCACTATTTGATAAAAAATAGTGCTGACGTTGGTTGTAAATGGCGCGCCAATTGGGTAGCACCTTTTCCATTAGTGCTACATCGCCGGGAGCCATTCTGCATGTCAATCCACCCATTGCACCAGACCCACTCGTACGTTGGATTCCCTGTGAGGAGCCGTTCTAACCAGCCCATCCGCATGTTGTCCGAAGTGACTCACAAGGTTTAAAATTAAAATAATTGGGGTAATATCACCGAGAATAGTGGAACTTGCATCGTATGTTCAGTTTGATGCATATACAGTCATATTACGCGTATGTGGGCCTATCCATATGTATGGCCTCACCTGTTAGTGAGTGTGCCACATATTTTATACAAAACACCCGCATATTGTTTTTATCCGCTGAAGAAAAACAAGACAGTACTGCACATATACATGAAAATAAAATAAAAACAGGCCAGCACTCAAACCTACGACCGGCTGTTTAACACCAGACGGTCTAGCCAATACACAACAGAAAACGGGATGTCTATTATGGATAAGGAAGTTATTTCTACAGAAAGAAAACACATGTGGAGCTTAAATGGGCTACAGATACTGAAGCCCATTTTACACGCGCTATTTTTCAGATATATTTGCAGAATTTAAGTAATGCAGTTTATTTTGCATGGTGTAAGTAAGTAATACAGTTATGTTCAAAATAATTGTGTGCTAAAAATATCATACATACACAAGATGATTAGTAAATAAAAACATTTAAATATAAACCTGTGTAGTATATATATAATATTTAATAAAATATGAGTAAGAATTTTTTAATATATTTGTAAACATAAGTATTAAAATTATCTTCAAATATTGGTGTTAAAAATACTATATATACAAATGGTGATAATAAAAAAATATTTATATATAAACTTGTCATTATATAAAAATATTTTATTAAAAACATTGAAAATGTTTATTAAATAATTAGTTGAATGAATTCAGCAAATTATACGTTTTCATATTATATTTAAATTATACAAAATGATGAATACACATATTTACTAAATTTGAATATTTACTTGTGAATAATTTTTACTCATGAGTTATATTCAAAATATTTAGAATTTAATAATAATCCAAGATTTAATATTATATTAGCATTTTAGATTATACAAACACTTGAACTACACAAATTGTGTATATAATTATTGAAATATTTGTATAATAATAATATTTCATTGTGACTATGAAATCAAATATGTAATACACACATTTATATAACACATATGTTTGTATAATACTCAGGTTTCTAAAATATTTACTAAAAAAGTTATCTTTAAAAATGTTGGAAAAAATATGTATTACACATATGTGTAACACACAGGTTTACAAATATCATGGAAAAAAGTAACCAATGCAAAATGGGCTGCAGTATACGCAGCCCATTTAAGCTGGACATGCTGTACCCCCACAAGAAAACAAACATATCTGCTCATTATCAATGTTACACATCTGTACCTGAACGGCGGAGTCGCTAGACCGTCCCTTTCTGTTGTTTTTAATTTTCACATTTGAAGCAATGGTTGAGGGTTTGAAACATAGCGGATCCTTTTCTGTTGTTTTTAATTTTCACATATATGTGGAGTACTGTGGTAGTATTTTTCTGTAAATAAAGAATATGTGAGGAGTTTTTGTGCAAAAAAGCATCGATGCGGTTGACTTTGTCTGTGAAGAAAAACATGAGGGTGTTTTCTGTGAAACTACGTCGCGTCCAGCCCCATCACTCACTAACAGGTGGGCCCATACACATGGATACGCCCGCATACGCGTACTATGACCGTATTTGCACGCTTGAGTCAAGTTAGTTGAGCATGAAACCGTATTTTTTTAAGTTGAAACACCAAACTAAACATGTGAAGCAAGTTCTATGACTTCCAGTGGGTATTACCTCAAAATAATTTAAATGGTAAAACTAGAACAATTTTAACACTGTTTTTTGCACTGTTCCTTGATCAGAAGTCAATGTATCCAAAGATTTATTGGCGAACACGTTGGCGAGCGTGACATCCGCAGTTCCTACAAGATGTGACTACAGTAAGGCGAGGCCGACCATTTACAAGGTACCCAAAGAACTTAAAAGGGGTGATGAGGACGAAGGCTATGAGCCGGTCGCTGTTAGCATAGGCCCCTTTACAAAGAGCGTCAACAGCACGGCGCAGCTGGAGAACTACAAATGGTGCTGCGTCCGGCAACTTTTGAGCTCGCACCAAAACCACCCTGACAGTGACGTCCCCGAGGGGCTGCTAAAGAGTTGCCTGGAGAACATGAAGCGTCTGGAGCCAGATATTCGGGCGGCCTACTCTGAAGACGTTGAGGGCGACAGCGATGTCCTGGCAGTCAGTATGCTACTCGATGGCTGTTTCATCCTCCAGCGCTTGCTCAAGGCCACACGCGTCGGGGAAAAGGAAGCAACTTCAGTCGGCTCGGAGAACCGATCAATGAAAAGAGGATTTCCCTCAAGCTTCTTCGAGTCGTCCCTAGGGAGTACAAGCAGCAGGCAGGAGAACATTGCTCAAGACGACGACTGGACGCAGGTTTTTGGCAGGGTCAGGGTGTGGCAATTAGTGGCAACCGACCTACTGCTGCTCGAGAATCAGATCCCTTTCTTTGTGCTGATTAAGCTATTTGAGCTGCTCTGGAGTGGTGACGGTGAGCCCCAAGACACCCTCGTCAAGGGCAGCCTCCGGCTTTTCCGATCTCTATGTCCCCACATGCTGCAACGTTCAGCTGCTAATTCAGGAATTGACTACCGCGGCGTGCACGTGCACCACCTGCTGCACCTCTTCTACCTCTCCGTCATCCAAGCCCAGACACCTCCTAACAACTTCGATCAATCAGTTTCTCTTTTTGTGTTGGATTTGGATCTCCCGCAGTGGATGCCGTGTGCCAAGGAGTTGATGGAAGCTGGGGTAAAGTTCAGAAAGGGAAAGAAGGAGGACAGTTTCCTGGACATCAAGTTCAACAGCCACAAGGGCATCCTGAAGATACCACCCCTGAGGTTCTATGATTTCAGCGACAAGCTGTTCCGGAACCTGATCGCCTTCGAGCAGACCTATCCACACACCCCGGGTGACATCACCACATATGCTATCTTCATGGACTGCCTCGTCAACACGCCAGAGGACATGCTCATCCTGCACCTGCGTCACATTATTGTCAACCAGATAAACGTCGAGCAGGACGCCAGCCGCTTCTTCAACACCAACTGCGCACAGGTTGTGCGCTCGTCGCGTTACAACGAGTACCTCAAAAATCTGATGAAGGATGTGAATGATTACAGGGGCTCCAGGCTGAACAAGTGGCGCGCAACGCTTGCGCGCAAGTACTTCAGAAACCCTTGTGTGACCATGTCGGTGCTGGCTGGCGTGCTCTTGCTCAACATGACTATGCTGCAGACCTTCTTTACAGTCTATCCCTACTTCTACCCTCCAAAGTAACCTCTTAAGCAAGCAATAAGCAGCAGCTACTTGTACCATGTTTTTTTTTCTGTTGAACCAAGCTACTTCTACTATGTCCATGGGGTCGGGACAACTACTTCTACTTTGAATAAAGAGATCCAACAGGGCACACATATATGCGAATTTCATATCTTGTCACTTCAATTATGCATGTCGTCCCGGGTGTATCTCTCTTCATTGTTTTCGGTGGTGCTACTCTCTACTCTCCGGCCAGCGAGAATAGCATTTCTGCATTATAGTTATTAATATATTGCGTAACCGCTGCATCGCTGTCTCGTTATTACGTTCTCTTGTTATACAATGACTAATTGCCATTGCTGTGTTTCTCGATCCGCTACCCCACAGCATAGGACTCTGTAGGCTAGCTGCTCGTGCATGTTTTAAGAAATGCCTAATCAGAATCTATCTATCTATCTATTATATTGTTAAGACGATATAAAACGAATGGTGAAGATTTATCACTTTTGAGTTATGATATTTGAACGGACAAGATTTAACATGTACTCGAATATTTTTTAGTCATCCACGTAGTATTACCTGCCTAAATAGATCGATGGATACAAGTCGCATGTGCTATGATGAGCTGTACACACCATACATCGGGGAGACAGGACCCCTACCTTTCATTCAACTGGTTAGTCGGTCGACACCGAGCCTCAATGCTGCAACAATCACTGTGCTTGTTGATCGGTGGAGGACGAAGACGCATAGTTTTTATCTTCAGATCGAGGAGATGACCGTGACACAAGTCCTCCATGGCTGTCAATATTGCACAATACAAGTACAGTAGCCAAGCTGAATTGGACTGGGAAGAGAATCCTTGAACGGATCGGACTGGATTGAAAACGTACCCTCGTCGGACCAGAATGCTCGGGAGCGTCCAGCACGGCCAGCGTGCATATTTTGTTTGTCGTGGCACCAGCGGCCGGTTCTATGTGTATGAGTTTGGTCTATGATCCTCGCGCGCGGCTGTGTTGATTGGGTATGTTACCTAGTACTTCCTCCGTAAACTAATATAAGAGTGTTTAGAATACTAAAATAGTAATCTAAACACTCTTATATTAGTTTACAGAGGGAGTATGTAATACGTCGTGACGACAAAGCAGCGTAGAGATCGTCTTGTGCCGTACGTTGGCCCAAGAGCTGCTGCGTCATCTTTCTATGGAATTTAATCCGTACGTCCCGAGGACTACTAGTTGCATTGGGCACGTATGGTTAGGCTCCAAGGAAGATGCATTTTTTGGATATGCATCTTTGTTTTTCCTACTTAAATTAACACGTTGGTGGCCTTTCCTTGTTTTCCTGTTTGTTTCCCTATAATAAGGCCGGCCAGTAGCCGCCATGGATATGCACTCGATCCTACACAGGAGGGCACATGGCGCCACGGACACGCCGAAGTAATAGCATACGAGCACCAGCGCCGGAGACCACGACTATGGTGGCTCGACATAAATATGGAAGATTTAAATTTGAAAAATGATTTTAAGTGATGTAGTTTTGCGATATGAAATTGGAAAACTGATGAAGCCAGCGGTTGATTTGATCCTATAATTTCGAAAAGTGAATTAATATTCTACACTATATTTAAAAACTATGTATCCAACTCCATGGCAATATGCATGCTACTGTAGTTTCTAATATTTCTGTGCAACCAAACAACGCTATATAATCAAGTCCATCAGCTCCTTCCACCCGAAGCAACGACAAAAAAACCACCGAAGAATCTCTACTAATAAAGGGGACTTTGTAGGCCATTTGGTTTCGTTTCATCTCCACCCCTCGTATGACCTCGCCACCCCACCCATTTTTCCAACCACCTGTAGCAACAACGCATAAAAATGTCGATGGAAAAAATCCCAGGAACAATCGTATGATATCGTACTCACATCTCCCGACTGTAATATCTAGCCGCCCCTGCTCGACCTAAATGTACACACTCTCCCGGCCCGATGCCTATTACATATGCCAACAGCAGGTGCTAGGCAGCCGCACCCCCCAGCCTCTCAGACTGGATGGTGCAGAGACGACCCCGGCCCATAAACTGTCCAAGAGGCAAGCCCGAGTAGTAGGAAGTTTACCTGAAGGAGAAGATTTCCAAGGGAACCTCTACAGACTCATACATCTTTGCCCGAATGGAAATGGCCACGGCCACAAGCCAGCAGTATTATCCATGCCGTGTCGGCCGCAGACAGGGAGAGATGGGAGGAATTTTATGAGAGAACCCTGGACTTTCCACGACCTATTAAAGGCATCTTTCATTGCCTCAGGAACAGACAGTTCATCTTCAGAGTTAGCTAGGCAGATGCACGCATCACCATTATTTTGTCCATCTCCATCCCTCCAGAGCGATTCAAATTTGTGGGCAGTTGACTCGTTTCCTTTCTTGATCAATATAAGATGCATGCAGCCTTCTTTCCTAAAGCATGATGTGCAACTGAAAAAAAAACATAATGTGAAGTTTTTTCTTTACGGACAATTTTTTTTGTGAATAAAAAACGGATTGGTGAAGCTTTTCTTTTTCATGGATTGATTTGTAAAGCTAATTTGACTGGAAAACAAAGATACCACATACGTTAGGGATAGGGTCTGTGTCCTTGAACGTTCCGTACTCCGATCGACTCTCTCTATAGAAGGCCTACATTGACCGTCTGCGGTTGCTGCATCAAACAAATCGAGGAGAGATCCGGTCGGCCATGGCGACGCGGATGCTGCGATCTGCCGTTGCTGGCCTTGCGCTCCGGCGATCGGCAAGCCTGATGTTTCCGGCTCGCATCCCCTTGAGCCCTGCGTCGGCTGTATCCTTCAGCAGCAAAACCGCCGCCGGCCAGGTAC